AAAAGTATCACCACTATACGTTTTTGAAGATAAACGATGCTATAAAAGAATCCCTATCTTTTATAAGAATAAAGTACATTTCGTTGACACACTTTCAGGAAGAACCTATTTCTGGGATACCGCAGTCCCATGTGGATCAGAAAATAGCCACAATGTAGTACAACTAAACCCTGATGAAGATAAATATTACCTTCTCACCCCATATCCCACATTAATGCAATCACTCAAAAAAATTTCACCAGAAAGCATTCGCGCTATCGCTCGAAACCCAAATATCGACTTACAATCAATAGGAATATATTCAAAATCAGATATCCAACATCACATTAGAACACAACAATTCCAAGAATTATTAACACAAATGGACACCATACAAAGACAATCAATTGACCAAAACCTACGCAAACTTGCAGAAACCGCAGGATTTGCAGACATCTATACGCAAGACTATAGCGGATATTTTAAAGACATTAAAGATTATATATATCTAAACGGTGAAAAATACCGTCCTCAAGATATATCACCTATCAATATTTTTAGCTCAAAAAGTTACACTCAAAAATGAAATTCTTGATTTTCTAGGATGGCCCTACTACATCTTAGAAAAATTGACTATTTTATACGCAATGTTTAACTTTATTGGATTTCTTTTCTCACTTTTAAAAGGAATCTACAACACATGTGCTATACACACACAAGTAAACAGACAAGCAAGTGTAGCACGCATACTATTTGCAGGATTTTTTGGAATCTTTTCTACATCAATAAACAAAATTCTTTTACACGCACAAATAAAAGAATACAACACAAAAATAGCAACAAGACAGAACACATACGACGAAGAACATAACAATGTAGACACAACGCCAACAGCACCACAGTTACCACCCCTACCACATAACCATCCACTATCCCTAGTCCCACGAAATTTTCGAAATTTAGCAATAACACATAATCCACATTTTAGACCAACCATATCACAAAGTCCCATCCAACATATAATGACACACCAGTCACAAGATGAAAATACTTATGAACAAATTATAGAACAACCCCATACCACCGCTTTTCAGTCTCAAAATAATAATTTTTTTAGCCCACGATGAGCCGACAACTTGGATCCCTACACCGTTCAAATTCCCACCCAACCAACCTCGCCACTCCAATTACAATAATACCACTTTTTGCTTTCCCGCCACCCGATTTCCCAACCAGTAATGTAACATCAGGCATGAATTCCGATACTAATTCACACATCTCAGTTTTATACTCCACCTCACAACTCAATAACCCGAATATTGAAACCCCCGATGAATTTGCCGACTCTGAACCATCTCCATCCAATAATTTTCACACCAACCCCTCAATTTTTTCCCAACCCCCTTTTCAACCAATACTACCAAATAACCCTGTCCCAACCAATTCTACACCCTCTTATGCTTCCCAAGTCACCCCAACCTACTCTTCACTTCATTCAGACCGATCATCCAATTCTCCAGACACCCCCCAAATCTCCCCAGAACTAGATAATTTTATTACCCTACAACAACAACCCTACCACCTTGACACCCCCACCATAAACCAAATTTCATCCACAATAGATTCATCCAACCCTCCTACTCCTACACCCTCTTCAGTTTATACCGAATCATTAGCACCATCATCCACATCTACTGAATCTTCACTCAGCACTAATAGAGCTTACCGCACTTTTAAAAGAAAGTTCCCCAACCATCCTTTCCCAGCAAAACCAGGAACAGCCCGTGAATATATCAACCATCCAAAACACACTAACACAAAAGAATTTTTAGCTATCACCTTACCCTCATTTCCACAATACACCTTAAACACCCCTCACGACACTAACGAAACACACAGCTTTGTAGACGAACACGTTTTAATGCCTACTCTTCCTTGGACCTCATATTATCATTTTACTAATCCCCTTTGCTTACCTTTATCTAACACTCACATCGATATAGAACGAAATAAGGACATGCTATATCGACTCACTACACCACTAACACCTAGACAATTTACTTACATTGGATATAAAAGGTCACTCAAAACACACACTGCACCCCGAGCTAACGAATATACACTAGAATATTACGATCATAACATCATCAGAACTAACCAAGATCAATTCTTAGACGATGATCGCTTTGCTAACCCACAAATCACCGAAAATTTTTTCATTAAAACACCATATGTATTTACACTAAATATCTTTGATCGCAAGTTTGACCACATCATTTCAGAAGCACTAACAGACACGCAAGCCTACGAAAGTTTTAAAGAGCGCTTCCAAATATTTTCACTTACCTTTCATTTCCTTGCACCACATGAAAGAGATTTGCACTGCTCACACGATATTATGTTGCGCACTAAACAAACTCACACATATACATATTATCGTTTTATCCAAAATCACTTCGACCTACACATTTCCTCCAGACAACCACACCACCGTTTTCAATTCATCAATTCCAAATACACCTCACCATTCTTTCTTAACTTCACATATTGTATTAAAGATACTAACCTTCATGGTATTCTTCGAAATTATGATCCCATAACCCAAATGTATATTTTTTGTCCCATCACCAAGACCTTCAATGCCGAAGAATCCCGACCCTTCCTTATCCCACACGAATTTGTTCAACCTATAGAAATCCCCATATTAGAATTCATCCATAACACTAAATTCAATCACAAATTATATAATCTAATCCAAAACACACCTTATGAGTTTGCAGTTGGCACTGAAGAACTAACCACCATTAAAGCACTTCAATTGCTTTGGCCACTGCTTCAAGCTAAAAATATCATCCGCATCTTAGCTAAATTACTAACAACTTCCGATCTCATCCACGACATCTTCCCCCACGGTTTCTTCCCCGACGACTAACAGGTAAGTATGAATTATACATATTATTCACTAATTAAAATAGAATTAAAAACTAACCATTCTTTATCCATGTCTTCTTTAGATTTTTAGCCTTCATCCAACGATCATCTAAAAATTCACAAAAGAAAAATAAAAATTCGAAAACTTCTTCAAACTGTTTCAAAACTATATTAATTTTTTGCACCAAACATTTAAATAAATATAATACCAATGCAGTAATTTAATTTATAAATTTTTTCCCCACAAGCAGTAAATCTAATTATGATGAAAATTTGTAACTTAATTTTTCCAACAAATAGCAGTAAAATTTGAATCTCTATGTAGTAAATTGATAAAACGAAAATGCAGTACTAACCTTTTGCTATTTCCATTCATTTGCACAAAAATTCTATCCACACTCGCACAGCTCGCCCACGAAGAATTGTTTAAAATAATGAATTTCAGTTTCAAGCTTTCACACTCAACAACTCTAACATAAGATAACACGTTTCAAACTTTCCTTTAACCCGGTTGGAAAGGAATTATATACTAAACAACACTAACCAACGCAGCTTACTAAACACCACAAATCATAGAATAACAGCATGACTAAGAAAAGGAAACCAACGGTACCCAAACCGGATTAACCCAGTTTAAAACTGGATAATTTATTCTTTTGAAGACTATTATAAAGTCTAAGAAAGAAATAATAAAACACAAAAAAGTCGAAAGACAAACCCATACCACAAACAATTTGATTTTTGGAAAAAGGACATAACCATACATAAGAAAAACCACAACAAACCCAACATAAAACGTTGTCACATAACAGGACCTCTCACAAAAACCGCATGCAATCATACTCCCACTCCTGGCCTAACCCACCAGAAGAGGACGTCCTGAGCATGCTCTATAGCCGGCCTGACCCACCGCGCTACATCCACGCTTTGTGACACACACTCCTATTTTTAATAAGAGCTACTCAAGGGTGAGTAACTCTTCAAAATAACTGAACTAAAACAAAAAGCTTTTGTGGAAACAACTAACCAAAATCATAATTAAAAAATATTAAACTAATAAAAGTTTTATAAAATGTAAATTACATCATGCAATACATAGATCAGAATACAACACCAAGGACGAACATCAAAAGACAAAACAACCCCACTACACTCGAAAAAGAATGGCCAACTACAATCGATATGCCGCTCACAATCACAACTCAAAGGATTTAGAGTAAGACTTGACTTCGCAGAAAAGGACTTCATTGAACTAGACCAATGACCACCTCGATGTTCAAGTATACGTACAGATCCGAGTAACCAGGCATCCCCTCCATGCACAATCTCCACGCCATTCCCAGACAAGATCAAACACAAAAGAAGTTCTCTACGAGAAACAGAAAAACCTGACATAGCCAAGCATTCTGAAATCAGATTTGAGTTTGTTGCGAAAGCACAGTCGTTGTCGCAAGAAGACACAACGTTTGATGTCCCTAATTCCAGCATCCTGGAACTTCTCTAGCAAGAGAAAACGGAAAAGAAATATGATGTTCGCCAAATACCAACGTCCATCATCCATCCTTCGAATTGCAGAAAAACTATTCTAAAAAACTCTGTAAAACCCGGATGGGTGGAACCTGATCTAAACTACATTTTATGATTGGATAAATTAGATATTTTACCAATGTAAAATATTTAATATTAACCAATCATGATCCATCTAACTAACAATCCACTTATTTGTAAGTGCTGAAATTACTTGTAATTTCAGCACCAGAGAGATTTGAATTTAACTTAGAGATTAGTTGAACTCTCCCGAGTACTTCAGCAGCCGCAATAAACCAGTATACCCTAGATCTATTGAGCCTAGCAGAGACTAGTTAAACAACCTGAGACTAGATAGTATAAGAGTAAGATTAGGATCGGTATTAGACTAAGAAGTTGCACGAATCTATCCGGCCGAAAATAAGATAGCGTGACGAGCAGACGGTGTACCCTATCCGAAATTACTCTATGAGTTATACACTTCGGTCCTAACTCAGTATCGTGGTCGGAACGTTCTGCCCTACTTATACTACATTCTGCTAAACATGTTTATGTGTGTTTAGGTGGATCAAGAGCAGAGCGTCTGCCCCTACAATGTGTTTCAATGCTTTTTTGGATGCATGGTTTGAAATGGCACTAGAGTGAGTCGAAAATTTTTGAAATTTACAAAAATGTTCAAAATTGGATATTTGCATTGAATTCAGATTATTACTACTTGATTTTTGTGACCAAATTTTTGTATGTCAATTATCACATTCAAACATAGGGTTGATTGATAAATCATATCAAAGTTTAAGGGTTCGTAATTTGATTTATATCATTTACAAAAACCTTTTAAACAAAAAATGTTTTTTTTAATATATTTTCAATTTATACTATTTAAGCGCAAAGGCTGAGTGAACTGGTCACTCGAAAAGAATATTCACTAATAATGAATTTGAATTGAACTCAATTTCGACAAGTTTTTTTCACGGAAAACTGATTTAATCATACACAGCACACAAACTTGGTAAATCCTATATCAGTTCAAATATAAGAGCTTTGAACTGCTGAAGAAAATATTCCCAAAAAACTATCCCTCTAAAGAAAGCTGCGGAGCTTTATATTTGATTACTAAAGAGGGCTAAAATAGTATCATGGTCCGCGGACCCATCTACAGAAAAGAAGCGCAACTTTATTGGTCTTTATTGTTATTCAGTTGTTGTGTGCGAGATCCTACTATCTACAGCAAACTGAACAGTCTGACCAGTCATGGAAGGAGAGTGCTCGGAATAGACGACTCATTTGTCCACTCTCTCGTCATGCCACTGCCCCCATCATTACCCCCTCTACAGGTAGATGACAACTAGTACTTCGAATTTATGGGCTTTTATTTACAAAAAACCAACACATTTGAACTGCTTATGGAAAACTGCAGTTGTGTTTCTGCTTAAAAGTTTTAAAAAAACACTTAAGCTTTTGCTGCAAAAAAAGTCGATAAATTGATTGAAAAATGAAAAAAATGAATGATTTTTATTGTTCCGATTTCCGAAATGTGTTTGTGCTTCGTGTTGTTTTTTGACAAATTTAGATGTTCAAGCTAACAACCTTCTTAGGACGACGTTTTCATTAAAATTTTTGACCTCAAAAAAAATACCAGTGATCATTTTTTCGTAAAATTATGGCGGCTTGAAAATTGCAAGTTTGACTAATTTGGAGCAGTAAATGCGCGATACGTTTCGTTGCATTAACTATTAAGCTGCTTTGGCAATAAACTTCGTGCTGTTTTTGCGTAAGCGACTGTTTAAAATTTCTGTTAACTATTATGCTAGTTTTTTAGTTATTATGATTCTATAATTGCTAAATCGATTATCACTTTGTGTTTTATACCTCGTGAAGATTTTTGTAAAAAACATCTTGGTTTTGGAAGCTTCATCATTTTTTACATCGACCACAACTGCATGGACATTAAAAGGCTGTCGGAATAGTCAGGTCGTCGCCTTGCTGCGAGCTGTCGTTTACTTTCGGTCTTTCTTTTGACCCCCACAAGCCTCTCAACACAAGAAAGGATGCAATTGGCGTCTCATCTCGTATTAATGAGACCAAATTGCTGACCGCATGTTCATTTGTCTCGCCGTTACAAGTGATATCTTACAAAAACGCAAGATATTGCACGTTAATTATAACAATATGGTCAAAAACAAATTTTATCAAACCCTTGCAAAATTACAAAAAACGATTACAGATGAAAACAAATATCTCGTTTGAGTCTAGCAATTTTTGCAGAGGGTATAAAAATTTTTTAATTATAAATCTTCAATTATCCTAATTTGGCCAATTTAGCCTTTTTCTTGTCCCCATTCTGCGCAAAGTGGTCACGTTTATTTTAAAAAATCAAAAAATGACCTAATAAGAAAAAAAAACCCGAGCATTATTATTGAATAGTCGGAAAAAAATGACTGTACCACTAAAAAATTTAAACTAAAACAGCTAATAGGTAAACGAAATTTTTTGTATACCTTTGCTTATAGAAGCTTCACACTTTTCTTGTAGATTTTTTTATTTGTATATTTTGTAGAATTTATCTGAATTGTTCAGAAAAAGTTTATTTACCTATATTGCACATATCTGTTGTGTAGTTGCAAGGTGTTTCTCTGGTTGACCTCCATAGACCAAAAATGCTATTCATACAATTCCATAAATTAAGTCTATGAAAAAATTCTAGTCATGCAACATTTTTTATTTCATACATTTTTCTAAAATAGTGTCCTCGAATTTTCGAAATTTTTTTTGTTTTGGCATAAAGTTTGGTGTATCGTGCCACATAAAAAATAAAAACTTTTTAAAAAAAAAAACGCTAATCATACAGTTTCCATATATAAAAATTGTATGACTAGCACTTTTTTGATGGCAATATCAAAAAATTTTTCAAGAAATTCTGAAATTGCCACAGAATTGTTTTTGGGTTTTTTTAACCGCAAGACGAACTTTGTACTCGAACAAACATTTAGTTTTTTGCTTGCATAAAATTTAGTTTTTTGCTTGCATAACGTAGTCCTGAATATACTAATTTTGGATTTTTCCTTTTTACCTCTCAATTTTTTTAAAAGCGCATAAAACTCCAATTTGTTTTGTATCGCTTGTTTATGTATGCCTTGATTAATGTCTGGCAAGCTAAAAAATCTAATTTTTAAAATGGTCCTCGTTGAAAAATTTTGCCAAAATTTAAAAGTTTTATGAATTCGGTTTATCATTTATGAGCGACACTTTGAAGACATTTCAGGCCGTTTTCAATGCATTGTCATTGCGAGATGGCCAATCTTTGGTTTCTCTACGTTTAAGTAATCAATGTTTTGTCACTTGTGTTCGGTTATGAACACAACCAAAAAAATTTGAGAAATTAAAATGTAAAAAATAAAAAATAAATATTTGGCTCAACCCTGAGTGCTGCACTCAGTCTTGAGTTTCATGAACTTTAATTGATTATATTGTCATTTTATTGATTTTTTACGTTTTGATTTTTTATAATGTTATAAACACAACCAAAAATGTTTTGAGAAATTAAAATGTAAAATGGCAACACGAGGCCAAACAGTGCATTGGATAGGCGTACAATTTTGTGTCTGTATTTTTCTGGATTCCAGGGACAAATCTTCGGACATTTAAATTTTTGTCGGAAGTATCAAAGGAAAGTAAAGAACAAAAGAAGAACAAAGGGAGCGTCCTTGTTGCGGAATCCGCTTGCAATGCACAAAATGCACACTTTTGTTTTGTATCTTGCCTGTTCAATGATTTGATCCAGCTCAGATTGAAATTGAACACCGGCCTCATCTTTGGCATGCCTTTAAACTTAGTTTCTTTTCAAGCGCCCTGGAGAAAATTAACGGGTAATTAGACAACTCTGCCCGCACAGAAGTTTCATGGATGAAAATCGATTATAATGGATTTTTGTTGACCAAAATGTTGTCTATATAATCGATTATCCAGGCAAATTTAGACTACGCAATGGAATTCTAATCTATTTTAACCGTCTATTTTTGAAAATTAAAAATCCCTTGAAACCCATTATAATCGATTATAATACATTTTTGTTTTCAATATAATGGATTTTATTTTGTTCATAAAACTCATGAAATTGAATAATTTTGTAACACTGACTCTAGTTCTTGTAATTATCTGCAAAACTCAAACGAACACGTTCACCCAGGGTCCGCCAATATGTAGTAATTTTGAAGAGGCCAGAATATAGCACTTTTCCAAAAAGTAACCAAAAACGGCATTTTTACAATTTTTTTTCAAGAAGTTCACTACAGCGCTAAAAATTTGGTCAAAAGACAATTTTTTTTAGTTATTTGAGAGTGCTAGGAAGTTCAAATTGGTCGACCTGAAAAAAAATTGACTAAATTTTTGATTTTTTTTCACCGTCGATAAAATTTTCGATATATCCATTATAACCGATTAAAATTGATTGTTTTTCTTTTGATATAATTTTTCGAATTATGATCGATTATATTGGGATTTCATTGCTTAAAAAAATAGTATTCTTTTAATCTATTTTCAGTCAATTATAATCGATTGTTTTTGTAATTTTGTGGAGAATGACAACAAAAATCCAATATAATCGATTATTATCCATGAAACTCCAGTGCATGTGAGAAATCAACAAGTAGCTTTTTTTGATAATGAAAAAGCATTTATGCCTCCAAAACTGCTTATTAGCTACGATTGTGTTTTCTGTTTATCACAACTGATAACTACAGGTTGACTTTCTTGCGAGTTTTGAAAGATCTTTGAACTGTTTCATCTTTGATCTAATCATAGCAATGCCATGACTGATGATTGACTGCAAGTCAGCAGCAAATGGCCGACGATCCTCGACAAACTGAGAAACATTTTTAATCAAAACAAAACGACCTGTCAAAGTACTTCGTCGAAATATTTTGCATGAAATTAGTCGGTATTAATTTTTTGCGGAAAAAGCTACACGGGTTAAAATTGCATTGCAATTCACGATTTAACAATTTTGGTTAAAGGTTTTTATACTTATCAACAATATACTTCGAGATGTCAATTTAGTTATAAGTGTACGCATCGTATATCATTTGTACATCACTTATTGATGCAAGTTCAACTACATCGACCTACAATTTTGAACATATTTAAAAACTTGTCGGTGGAAACCAGGGAAATGCAAACACCAAATTGTGCGCCTAACCAGTGCACAGTTTGGTCTCGTAATATCTTTGGAGATGCTTCAGCGATGAAACAATGTTATTTTTTCTGAAAACAAACCAACAGTGAGACTATAAAAATTTTAAAGTAGCCCGGGTTTAGCTCATATTGAAATCTCGATGTTCATTGCCTCAAAAGCAAATTTTATCGATAAGTTATCGCTAATTTGGCTATATTTCAGCAATGAAACAGCGATAAAAAACCTGTCAACATGAGCAAAAATAGTGACAAAACAGGGGATTGCTCCCGCAACCATCTGCGTTGTTTTCATGTTTGTTACCTCTGCGCCATCTGCACAAATAGTCTAAATTTTTTTGAATTTCTAGCTTTTTCAAAACTTTTTTTGTGCATAATAGTTAAATTTCGTAAAGCCACATTCCAATGGCTTCGTTATTGTAAGGAAAACCCTGGCAAAATTCAGCTGCAATACTAGCAATGAGTAATATAGAGAGAATTTTCAACTAAAAAAGTATTTCTGTTCACAATAAATTTGTTGGAAAAAAAAACTTGTTTTTCTTGAATCTTATCAAATTTTTAATGATCCGAGTATGATAAAGCATAATGGACAATATTGAAAGCAACTGTTTTCAAAGGTTTTTTCTTCAATTTTCCTATTTCAAGGACATTTTTTGCACCACACCTATTTGATTAGTTGGCAAAACAGTTTGATCGGCCGATAGAAATTGATTGCAACTACTCCCTAGAAACTTATCTTTTCTTGGTTCCAAACTTAAGGGTATGAAAAACTAGATTCAACATATGCATTGAGTTTTTTCAACGACGAATGAATATTTTTCAAAGTTGTCTGTGATGTTTATGATTGTTGGCTGATTTTTCTTGCAATATGTAGAAAACGCACCCTATTACAACGTTGTTGTGCCCGTTTTCGTCAGAACAATGTTTATTGCTCTTACTAATGAAAATGGGGAGGAACCCTTATTCGGGCTTAGTTTTTTTCTTTCTTTTTTTTTTTTTTGCCAAGCAAAATCAGGTACTAACAACCGGACTGGGTCGATAGATATGACACATCGAGATTTAAACGTCTTTAAAAACAGTTTTTAAAATTTTTCCGTAGTTTTGAGAAGACGGTTTCAAATTTTCAAGTTTTGGTTCAATATCGAGCGAGCCTGCAGGCTTATTTATGCTTAATGTACCTTGAAAGTTAGTTTCAATAAAAAAAAAATTTTTAAGTTTTCAGCGCTATTGCAGGAAACAAAAATTTCTAAATTTTGAAAACTTTCTGAAAACAAATTTTATAATTCTTTTTTGAAAATTCTTACATAAAAACATGCTGATTTTCTATTTTCTAAAAAAAGTTTCTGCAAAATTTTTTTCCCATTTGTCTATTTTACTATGATTGTTGAATATGCTAACTTTGATTTTTTTGTTCGGATTATTTTATCACACCACGCAGAAAAACGACACTCAGTTTTTAAAAAGTTTTTTCGTGTTTTGTAAGACTTTTGTCGGAACTTTCTGTTAAACTTGCACAAATACCGGCGCTCCTTGTTTTCAATCCCGTTAGGATTGATTTTTAAAATTCAAAAATAATATTTTTCAGGATGACGCGAGTGCGAAACAAATGAAGATGGAGCGGGAGCCATCCACTCTTCTGGATTTGTCCAAGAACAACAACAACAACAACAACAACAACAACAACAACAACAACAACAACAACAACAACAACAACAACAACAACAACAACAACAACAACAACAACAACAACAACAACAACAACAGCAACAAAGAATCAGCAAACAACAGCGACAAGTCAAAACAGCCAGAACCCAATAAAAAGAACAATAATATCGCAGGAAGAGTTAAACGCGAGAAAACAACAGGAAGTATACGCGAACAAAGTATGAGTAAAAAGGGGTCAAATTTGATGAGTGGGGGCCCAATGTTTACTAGAAGCAGCACTCATATCACAGTTCTGGAGTTGGACGAAGATGATGAAGAGAACAATGAAAAAAGCATCACTGGAACCAAAAAGAGTTCAGACAAGTTTGGAAGAGAGGCCACGAATGTGTTACTCGCTGAGTCCATAAAGGCCATGACCAGGCAGCCGTCCATAATGGGCCGAAAACCAGGAACCACACTGTTGGCAAGGAAAAACAACCGAGACGTGAACAACAACGATAGTAATCATAATCGTAGTAGTTCAAGTTATGTTAGTAGTAATAATCTGAGTGGTAGTTATAATAATCTTGACTTGAGTAATGCGCACTATTTGAAACCGACTCAAGTCAGTGAAAGACGAGCTGTTCTGTTGCCGCCCATTGAGCAGAAAACTCAGAGTACTGTTGCGTGGAAGTAAACTTGATCTAAACATTAATCAAACTTGATGAAAATGACAAAAAACCTAATTTAATTGTTTGGGTTTTGGTATAGTTGATATATTAGAATGATTGTTGCTTTTTGGAAAAATGCAGGTTATTCGGAAACTTGAGAATCGCGATTTGGCGCTTTCTTCAAATTGATCTTATTGACCTACCCAAAAACTAATTTTGATAATACAAAAAAGAACAAAAGACGTCTCGGAGAAACTAGTTTGGTCGAACTAAAAAAACTGATTGTTTTTCGAAAAAAGGATGCTTTCTCGCGAAAAAATTCGTTCCGCCATTTGTTGAAAACAAAAACAATCATTCTCATTTTAGATCTCTATTATAGTGACATGAAAATTGAACATTTACATCGACTTTAGAAGTGACGATGAAAGAAGATTTAATTTTTCTATCCAGTTCAAAATTTTTATAGCAAAATGACTGCAAGCGGAGTTCACTTTCAGATTTCAGCGGGAAAGATGAGAAGAAATAAATAAGGAAAGAAGATTCGTTTAAACACTAAATTTAAAAAAGGAACGGAAGTTAAAACTAAGACTGCTCGTATCAGAGCAAAATTCCTTTGTCGAGTCTGGCCGTTAAGAATTGTCAAGTACTGACTTTAGTTTATGTATTTACCTTGTGGCGTTTTGGTGCATCATTAGTGGCTCAAGATTAAGCCTCTGGTTGGTTTAACTTAAAAAAACTGTTATCTCCATTTGCAGTCACAAATTATTCGAAACAATTATCTTGTATCAATTCAACTGCTGTTCAGAAAACAAGGTACATTATAGCCCAAATCAACTATTCTAAACTGATCAATGTTCTCCCAATCTAAAATCCACATTTCGAAAAAAAAATGCGGATTTTGATCGGAGGGAATACAGTTTTTTCGAATTTTGAGCTCGAGGTTATTAAGGTTAAAAGTTTTATTAATGTCCGGATGAGCAACCACTCAATAACAGAAGTTTCATCATTCTTAAGCCGGAGAACTAATTTTTGTCTGGCCTTGTGTTCGTAAAACAACATGCTGAACAATTAGCAGCTATAGGATGAAAATAATTTTACGACTTCATTTTGCAACCCACCCGCATCCAGTTTCAAGCGTTATTAATTGATTATATTACGATTTTAGTACCAGTGTTACTAGAATTGAGAAAAAATCGGTTTTAATCAATTAACAATCAATTATAATCTATCTTTTTCAGATCAAATTATATTTTTTATAATCCGTTACAATCGATTAAAATCGATTATTTATTCGTCCATTTTTCGCTACAAGTAAAATCAATTATAATTGATTAGAATCCGTTATTTTTCTTCAAAATTCTAATTCAATAGTTTTGCACAAAAATCCATCATAATCGTTTATATTTGATTATAATCCCTTTTTTTATCCATTTTGTTTTCGAAGTTGCATCTAAATTGCTTATATTTTATGCTTTTTGTAGACGTTGGCTCCTATGAAAAATGAGAGAATTGTTTTTAAACTTTTCCAATCAATTCAAATTTATAAGGTTTTTTTTTCATTTCTTCCACAAAAGAGTTTTTTTGTGATGCATATTTTAAACTTTTTAACCACCAAAACATCAGCAAACTGATTTAGTTTCATGATTGATTCGGAAGATTTATTTTTCATCTACCGCGGGAGTCCTTCCACTAATATGAAAGAATCTCAATGAAACTTTTGTTTCGAGGTAAAACTTTGTGTTCAGATGAACCAAAGTGTACAAGAGATCTCTTTTTTGACGCAAAAATAAAAACCCATAAGATATAATTCGAATCTAGTTTTGATCTGACAAAATTTTGGCAAAAAAAGCGATTATAATCGATTTAATTCGATTATAATTGATTCTAAGGGATTTTTGTAAGAACTATAATAAATTAAAAATTCACGACTATAATCAATTATAAATTCTTAAAGCATCTAATTTTGGTAATTGTCAAAAAATCATCATATTAATCCGTAATAATCAATTATTTACGCCTAAACTCGGATGCGGGCAATTCTTTATTCTATAAAAAAATTTAAAACTACTTTTGTTCCTCGGGAATTTTTTGTCCCATCAAAACATGCAGCACAGAATCGAAGCTTTTTATGCAAATTTTAGATACCAACCTCGTGTTTTTTGAAATTTTGAAACAAGTTACAATTGCGTTTTTATGTCAATGAAAAAGTTCTGTAGTTCGATCATAGTCAATTTAGCAACCGTGGGATGAATATTGTCGCGCGGCTTTTATATAGTTGTTTTCTTTTTATTTTTAGCGTGCGATTAACTGCAGCTCTTAAGTCAAGTAAAATGGAATGAAACCACCCAAGTTTTTGGAATAAATTGTATTCGGAATAAAAGCCCTCGTTTTGCAGCTAAAAGTGCGTGCAAAATTCAATATAAAAAGTTTACTCGTAACAGGGCACAACCCTAAATGTTTTGTGATTATTCAAACTTTTATGGAGTAATTTAAATTGAAAACATTGATAAAGTTTTTATGTAAAAAAAAACGAAAAACAATTTGAATTTTTTTTTGCAGATTTCTTAGCACAAAAAGTTTGGAGTGACCTTTTATGCATACAGCAAAGTAAAAAGAGACAAAAAAACTTACTGCATTAGTTTTGAAACGATTTTTCAAAACTAAACAAATCTCTGCTCAAGCGTTAATTGCACAAGATATATCGCGCGTTAGTTGTCCCAAAATTGACCAAATTGGAGATCTATCTATAAACCCTCATCACTTTATGAAAAACAGTCTCAGGGGAATTTTTTTATGTTGCAGCTCAAGACAGCAATGCTCTTCGAATGATATGGAATATTTTATCAAAACTTGCGAGTTAAAAAGACGATTCTGAAGAAAAAAAAAACAAACTTAAAATTCAAAAAAGTCGGAACCAGCAAAAAACACCATTTTTTGTTTTTTGATTGAAAGATTATAGAATTTTCAAATTTTTTTTCTCAACGAGGTTATTCAACATTTAATTGGGAACATTTAGTTTCTTTAACAAACTATCTGGTTATGCAAACAAAAAAGTGAAGTTAACTATTTATATTGTTAAACTTATCTCTGGAAACTTGTAAGCTGGACTAAAGTTTTGTGAAATTAACAGTATTGATGAACTTCGCTTTAACTTAGTGCACAACAATTGCTTTTTTGAGTTTTATTTCTTCAAATTCTTGTGGCAACAAAAAAAATACAGAAAGCCTGGTTTGATCTCGATACATCAAAAGTTCATGTGATCGTATTCCAAACAATTCCATTTCGTTTTTGTAAAACGACTAAACAACTTTTGAAGTTTACTAGAAAGCTTATCAAATTTTTTGAATTCAAATATGCCACTAATTGTTTAAATTCAGTGGGAAAAATTCTTTCTTATGAGTTGTAAATAATTATTATACAAATCAAATCAGCTGTTAGTGATGCATAACTTTCCGCAACATTTCATTGCAAACTTTTACTTGTTATAACCCACTATGATCCATTGTGATGGGTTTATATAAATGAACTAATTCAAATACAAACATTTTGTGCAAAAAAAGGATTATACAAGTTTAAAAATCCGTTTAATTTCGAAAAAAGTGAATAAACTCCAAAATGCTGGAAATATTTTTGAATCTATAATTAATTATGAACGGTTATATCTCATTAAGCTCCAGTGAGGTAGGTACTCAAAGTTTCATAAAAAGTTCGACCGCACAATTCATTTATTCTGAAATTTTGTAAATTCAAAAATGTTTTTTCTTGTGTATATATCGGAAACTGTATAGAAATTTTGTGAAAATGTATGAAAGCAAATGGTTCGAAGACGATACAAAACAACGATCAAAATTAGTTGTTTGAAAAGCTTTTGGATCAATTTCGTTTCTTACCTAATTGATGAATAAAATCCTCATTTGTAAGTTTTAACTTATTTTTTTTTCAAGCCAATGGACAACTGCTAGTTATCCAGGAAAAACGAAAAAGTAGCTGTTGTTTGGTTTGGTTATTGACATGAAAAATTGGTTCGATTCCCAGTATCGAGAAAAAAATATCCACTATCCTTTTTTTGTCTAATTTTGAGCGCGTAAAACGAATGAGCAAGCTTTTTGTGGCCTTTTACAAAAACTAATCTTTTTGTGATTTTTGATTCTTCGAGAAAAATTAGTTTTGAAGTATTTCAACTCCATTTTGGGAATCAAAATTTCAAAAAAAAATTAAATTTTTCTGCAAAAAAAAGTTGAACGTGCTACTGTCGAATGTGCCCATTAACTAGTGTTTTCTTCAGATCTTTTTATCACACCACACAAAAAATTGTTGTTTTTTGTGCATTTTTTGCAAGGAGCATCGAATGTTCCGACTGTAGTCCTTTTGCGTTTGTTTTTTTAAGACTACGATCGGATTATTCTGTGCTATTTTAACAACAACATGCTATCTTTGTTTCGATAAGATATCAGTTACCACGATTTCAAATGCTAAAGTTCTATATTTTATTTCACATTCGAACTTGTTTTTGCTTTCGAATTTCTTTTTGAACATCTTATGTTCAAAAAACTGAACTTTGGCTGATTTTTATGCAATTAAGAAGCAAAATACATTAATGAACTGATATAAAAAACATGAAATTAAAAGAATACTGTAGGGCTAAATAGTACAAACCGACGGCACTTAGAACAGCTAAACAAAGCAACACTTTTGGGTTATGAGGAGACAGGCAAGCTTTCGAAACCCATCACCCGCTAAATTTGACTAATTTTTCTATAAGTAATTTGTTTCAAGTGTAAAACCTTCAGATTACAGTTCTTTCTCTCGGCGATCAAGGAGGGTTCTCTTGCATGATCTTGCATGATCTTGCAAAATGGAAGTTATCTTACGAGATCTTGCAAGTGCGAGGCTATCTTGCAAAAATCTTGAAAGATTTTGCAAGTTAGCGAAATATGAAAATTTTTCACATAACTTTATTCTGAGCGACAAAAAAAACTATTGAGGGCCAATTTAACTACGGTCACAAACAATTCTGTGTATAAGTTGGTCTAAAATTTTTAGGTTAAACAAGTTTGAAAATATTCATAAATGTGATTTATTTTTTATTTTCATGAT